CTTTCTCTTTCATTCTACGCAAACTCACTAGCTTCAAGCTCATCCAAAATACTCTCAAACTCCTTGTAAGAACTCTCAAATGATTCAAGACCAAATCAAAGGCGAACCTAGTATAATTTAATGTAAAGAGGCTTGTGATCATCACTATATCATGTGTCTTCTTGTTATACTGATTTTAGAAACTCTTTGGAGGTGGAGGTAATCACCATAGAAGCATAAGAATTCAAGAAGCGTAGTTAGCCTCTTCAAAAAAGGTATGTAAGGCAGTTTCCTTTCTTGGCATGTCTTGATGTAAGCTCTTCTTTCTAAATAATCCATATGTGGTAAGACTAAATTATTCTAAGCCTTTCTTGATAATATTGTTCATGTTCTTGTATGTTCTTTGTCGTTGGCATTTTCTTTCCGGTTTGAGATTTTTCTGGATGACATCTTGAGGTTGTGAAACATAACTCATTTTCTAATCTTGATATCTCTTGAAATTGATCTACATTATATATTATATTATGTATTTAATGTATAGCCCCAATGAGTGGCTTGATTTTTACAAAACTTGCATACATTTTTTATTCATGGTTATTGCAGTGCACGCCACCTGTGGCTTGTCTTCGGTACCGAGTTTGAAATTATGTATACATATCTCTTATGTTACGCTTTTGGTTTACATACATTATCAACCTTACATACTCAGTACATCTTTCGTACTGACTCCCCTTTCTTTTGGGTGATGTGTCCATGCCCACACATAAAGATAGACCCGGTGACGCCCCTCCCCAGTAGGGTACCCGTTTCAGCTGTTGGTTGTCGCACTCTACTTCTCTGGAGTAGCTGCACAGAAGTCAATAGGTACTGAAGTATATGTTTCAATCATTTTGGGTATAATGGGGCCCTGTCCCGACCAAGTTGTATATTACATTACTCTTAGAAGCTTGTAGACCGGTGTCCAGTGTATATGTAAATATGCTTATGACTCTATTGGAAACGACAATGTATATATAAGATGTTAAAGTTTCTTCCACAGTTAGTTGTGAATATTTTTTTAAAATTTTGGTATTATACTTGGAGGACTTATTGGCCCAGATTTCATGTTGAAAGGTCTAAGTATGGATGTTAGTTCGTACGGGCCTTCGGGCATCGTGTACCGGTCGCACCTTCCGAGGTTGGGGTTTGACAGTTGTTCACTCTTTTAAGACTAGAAAAGGCCGCCGAAGTCTTATGCTACTCAAAATTGACTTAGAAAAAGCTTTTGACCGCTTAGAATGGTCTTTTATTCACTACTATCTCTCTAGTCTAAAATTTCCTTTACCCTTGATCTCCATAATTAAGAATTATATCTCCTCCTCCTCTATTTCCATCATCGTCAATGAAAAGCCGACTTCTTTCTTCTCCCCGATTAGAGGTATTCATCAAGGTAACCCTTTATCTCTCTACCTCTTTATTATATGTATGGAAACCCTTACTAGGATTATCACTCTATCTATGACTAATAACACTTGAGACACCATCAAACTATCTAGTAACGGCTATGCCCTATTCCATCTACTCTTTGCTGATAATCTTATCTTATTCGCGAAAGCGAATGCCAAAAGTTCTACTACAATTAATAGTGTGCTTCACCATTTGGCTCTCTTGCAGGCCAGAAGATCAACCATGCTAAATCCAAAGTTATATTCTCTCCGATTACTTCTCAATCTACACAATTAGCTATTCTCAATATGCGTATCTCTACTACAGTAGATCAATATTTAGGACTTCCAATCACAAACTTCCAGCCTAAAATTCGAGGCTACTAATATATCTTCGACCGCATGAATAATCGTCTTCAGGGCTAGAAAACTAAGTTTCTCAATCTTGCCTGCCGAACCACTTTGATCAAATCCGTCCTTGCTTCCATTCCTACATATGCGATGCAAAATAATATTTTGCCGACCAAAATTATAAATAGTATTGACAAAATTCAAAGGAATTTTCTTTGGGAAACTACACCTGACAAAAGAAAAATTTATTTAGTTAAGTGGGATAATGTAACCTTATCACATCAAAAAGGAGGTCTGGGCATTCAAAAAATAAAAAGCAAGAATTTGACGCTAGTTGCAGGTTTAGCATGGCGCTTCTGCCACAACCCCATGCCCCTTAGATTAAAGTTCTTTCTTCTAAATACCGCCTGGCTTGGACTACCGCACCTGACACTCCTCCTCAGTCCAATACCTATTTTATTTGGAAAAGCCTTCTCAAGGGTTACACATTACTACCAAGGGAACTAAGTGGCCTATTGGATCGAGTTCAGATATTAACTTTTGGCATGATATTTGGCTTTCCAATAATTCCATACCTAGGAGTCTTATTCAGGGTCCCTTACAACTATTTGAATCTACCTTAACATTGTCCCACCTTTTGCAGAATGATCAATGGCAATTTTAAAATCTTTCTTTTATTCTCCCTCCTACTATCTCTACCCTCATTCATAGTACGCACTTCAACCCTTACTCCTCATGCTCTGATATGTTTTGCTAGTTCCCCAATCAAAGCAACACTTTCTCCGCAAAATCAGCGTACCAACTACATCTCCAGGAAGTCCAACCTGCTATAATAGATGTTGCCCCAATCTCCTAGATTTAGAAACTACATATACCCAATAAACTTAAAATATTCCTATGGCTAGTGTTGCAAAATCGACTTTCTACTGCTGCTTACCTTTACTCTTTACATGTTCTTCCTCACCCCGACTGTCAATCGTGTCTTTGTGCTTCAGAAACCATAAAATACTTATTTTGGGACTGCGACAATGCCAGACCATTGTGGACTTTCTTCGATGTTAACACTACTGCTCCCAACTTTAATGATTGGCTTCACGATCAATGTTGCATACTCAAAACCTCTTTATCTACTAGACATTCAGGTTCCTGGTATGTTAATAGTTCCTTTCATTCTTTGGCATATTTGGATCACACGGAATCATAATCAATTTAACAACCTTCACAATCAGGTGTTTGTTAATAACATTATGTACCATCTTATAGAACTTCACTTTCTCTTAATGGCTCATCATCCTACAGCTTCCACTTGCAGTCTTTATATCAAATGGAACCTCCGCTTGAATACCTTTTTAAACTTAGCACCGATGATGTCTTTTATCCAGCTACCCTAAAAGTTGGTGCCGTAAGGATTTTTCGTAATCATAATAGTCAATGGATTCGCGGATTTACGACCAACCTAATAACTGAATTTGAACTAGTAGCACTTTTGCTTAGTTTACAGTTAGCTAAGGAATTAAATTTATCTCCCCTTCAAATAGAGACTGATTCACAGATATTATGCACTATGGTCGAACATAGAAATGAGCTCCACTCACACATTCTTTCTGATTACAGGTCACTCATACCGGAACTGGGTCGAGTAGAACTTAGGCATATCTACCGTGAAGCAAATACTATAGTAGTGTTTTGGCTAAGCATGGATTGAACCTCATCCCCTCTGATGGCAGGCAACCATGGCAGCCTTTACACCACTTATCCCACCCCTTTGTGTTACTCACTTTCAATAAAGACTGTTCCAGAGACTTATCTGCTCGAACAGTCCCAACTTATAATAACTATAACTCTCACGTTATTTAGTTGTTTAATATCAACATCTGATTTAGCGGAAAAAAGAAGAAGGTCTATGTAGGACGTGGACATATCCCTAATTTTTTCAATTTATACAAATCATAGGGGGNGACATATCTACCCTTACCGTTAGCCAAACTTTTTAAAAATACCCTTCACCTAACGGAAAGCCACTAAATTAAAAAAAGTACCTTTTTTTAAAAACCCATTAATAACCTGTTAAACCCCTTTCATTTACTGCACTTCTTTCTCATATATTAGTCATCTGCTTCGTAGTTACTTGTTGAACTCAAGAAGTGAAAGACATAAAAATACCGACAACCATATATTCATTTATATATTGAGTCCCGATTCTTTTAATATCCTTATTGTATGTTTATTATATTCTACCTTTTCCAATTTCCTTTTTTTCTTCTAGCTTGTCTTTTTGTTTTTTCCACCATATCGAACTGTACCGAGTATTCATCATGATTTTCTTTCCACCAATACTTGAATGTTTATAACATCTTATTAGGTTAATAGTTCTAAAGTCTTAAGGCAACTACCAAAGTATTTCTTCCTCCGACAATGAGACTTTGTTGATGAGTATTCACGCACCATAATTTTCTTATTCTACTTTAAGCATTTGGGCAATAAATAGTTATCGCCAAATCATGACTTAAGAACCAAAGTTAGATTCCAAGCTATGGGATGTGATACTCATAATTCTTAGTAACAGCTGAACTTATAGTGAACAAAAATTAGAAAAAAATTAGAGGAGATTCAATTTAATATCAAACTACACTCTAAGAAATTCATCAAGAATGAAAGAAAGTACACCAACAAGTTGGAAAGCAACTTAACAACCTAAGTACACTAACTTCATGTATTAACCAAACACAAGTATTATTAAAGTATATATCAGTTATTACCAACATACAAACTAACTGTCAAGTGTACATTACATTAGACAAAGGGATGCCATGTTATAACCACACAAAAAAAAATTAAAAATGATAACATGACATCCTAATGCCACCATGAACAACTAGTAACCAAAAATATAAGTTTTTACTAATTCTACTTTCACCATCATTCTCGTCTCTCTCTAAATAAATAAAATGTATTAAGCCGTCTCACAAATTTAGGTTTTAAATTTTTAAATGATGGGTTTAACGGGTTATGGGTTAATAATTTTTTTTAAATGATTATTTTATTAATTTGGTAGCTTTCCGTTAGGTAAAGGATATTTTTAAAAAATTTGGTTAACGGTAAGGGTAGATATGTCTCGATATTATAACGGCATATACGGACAATAAAAAATTTGGTTAACAGCAATGATAGATATGTCTCGATATTATAAATGCATATATGAACAATATATTAAAGTAGAAAGTTATATTTGGTTCTTCCCCCAAAAAGAGAAAGTACCCTTCCCCAATTTAGCTACTTTGATTTGAAGTTGAGCAGTGTTGGAAAGAAGAGATGGAAAGAGGGAAGGTGATAGTGGAAAAAGTAGGAGGAAAATCAACAGTTACAAAGTGCTTCTCAAAGTATCCCCTCAAATTCATCATCCCCAGAAAGGTCTGTTAATCATTTCATCTCCCTACTTCTTCTCTTTTTAAGCTTATGCTCTTCTTGACTAATCCTGGATTATTTTACACGCGATACACTATTGGTATAACTTGTACGTAAATCTATCGATTATTTTACACACGATAAGAATCAGTGTGTTAGTAATAGTGGGATAAATAGAGTATCTCAAGACCTTCAATTACGGAAATCCTTATATTATTGTTCACTCATTATTTTCCACTGCATAAACAAATTTCTGCATTATAATTCGAAAACTAGTCCTTAAACCAAACGACCATTATCTTGAGACATCATTGCTCAGCTTTTTGGTATTTAGTGGAAATGCACCTATGTAGCTCAATATGCACTATATCTGCAATTACAATGTTGCTTTTGTCGTTGAAAGAGATAATCTTGATTTGTTCTTCTCAATTTCATGGTCTGTTTTAGGTGGGTTCTTCTGAAACAGATGCTGTTTGGATTTACACCATCACTTATGGTGGAGGAATTGTCTCTGTAAGTCATCTGCTCCCCAACTCTTCTCCCCCCTACCCAGTCCCAGAACCCAGGATTGTAAGTTTGTTCTTAGGAAATTGTGGCTGTAAAAAAACAAAAAAGATTTTCTTACTAGCATTATGATGATTCACTTTCTGGGTTTTATTTTGTTGAACACATAAATAATTAAATTATATTGTGCTCTCTTTATCAACTTAAGCTTTTAGATGAAATAATCATACATTTCAACACTGTATCAGAGCAGGCAAAAATCCTTTGCTAGAGTCTCGATGCCACCTACTAGCATTATGATGATTCACTTTCTGGGTTTTATTTTGTTGAACTTGAACACATAAATAAGTAAATTATATTGTGCTCTCTTTATCAACTTAAGTTTTTAGATAAAATAATCATACATTTCAACACTGTATCAAGCAAAAATCCTTAGCTAGAGTCTCGATGCCACCTCCTATCAAAAAGAATTTCCACGTACTTTGGCCAAAGAAAAATAAGGGGATGTGTACTCTCTCTAACAACTTAAGCTTTTAGATAAGATGATCACACATTTCAATACTATTTATTCGTTGTATATGATTAAAGCTAATATAACGTCGGTATATGTTTGCTTCTAGGGAGATTCTATAGCATGTGATATTACGGTGGGAGATGGTTGCACCACTGTTTTGACCACTCAAGCTTCTACTAAGGTTAAAGTCTTTGGAAGTTTGATTATTTGTAAATAGATAGGTCGATTACTTCTTCATGCATAAATGTTCTTAGCATGGTGCTTTGGAGCTTGTTACACGTTTTATTGATACAGTAAAATTTCCGCTGCAGGTGTACAAAGCCGTGGGATCAAAGAGCTCTGAACAAGTGTTGGAGGTAATGCCATTATGAGGAAGTGTGTTATAAATTGTTCTTTGTGCTTTTATATGTTTAGACCTTCTTAGTGCATTGTGGATCGATTCCAAAAGTTTGGTCCTTGTCTACGGCAAGAAATTCTAAAATCTACTGTAAGCATACAAAAAATAAGATCAGGTCTTACTGACAGTTATTTTATTGAACTTGATGATGCAGAAAAAGTAAGCGAATGATAAGTTTTGGAGGAGATAGCTGAAGGAGAAGAAAAAGGAAAAGAAAAGGAAAATGAGAACCTGAAATTGGTGTCAGAACGGTGAGGTTGAAATTGTGTGATAATGGAGTCCTAGAGTTTGAAAGATTTTGTATTAGTTAATAGGGAGATATTACGAGATGATATATTGTTTTGAGGTAACTATCCTTCAAGTATGATACAATCTTATGTATTTTAAGAAGTTGATATAGTTAAACTTATAAATGAAAAGACATGAAAAAAGGATACATAACAGCTTCCACTTCTAATTACAGCCATAAGAAAAGGATACTATGGTGTGATCGTTTTCTCTAAATTATATAATAAGATATCCGCCTGACATTCTTCAACACCAGTTCCAAGTAATTAAAAACAAGACAGAGAATATATAGCTTAAATTCTATTTTTTGGTTAACGGATGACCGATAATGAGGTTTGTTGGAGAACATGTAGCAAGTTCTAAAGAGCATATCATTATCTTCTTTTTGTTATTTGTTCTTTTCTTTGGGCTCATTTTAACTGTCTCATTTGATACCTAGCTAGAACTCTTAGTAAAAGTGGCTGTTTATGCCATGCAGTAGGCAAGAATAGGAAGCAATGCCTTTTTGGCTGTAATTCCAGATCCAGTAACCTGTTTCTCCACAGCAAAATATTCTCAAAGGCAAGTGTTCAAAGTTGTCTCTGACTCAAGTTTGCTTCTTGTTGACTGGATAACTAGTGGCCGTCATGAAAGAGGAGAAAAATGGGATTTTGATCTTTATAAGAGCACGAATCACATCTTTCATAATGGTGATGAGCCTTTATTTCTTGATACAGTAAGCTTCTTCCTTTTATCAGTCTGGAAGTTTTTACTTAATGTATGCAAGTAGCATAAATTCTTTAATAAAGCAAAGCTGTATCAGCTGTTTTTCAGTCTGCTCTTTCCATAGCAAGAAATCTAGATGATAGTCACATAAGTATGAGTTTTCCCTTCAGGCTAATTGAAATTTAAAAATACTATACGGTTTTTGCCTTTAACCTGTCAAGTAATTCTTTTATTGCCTGCATGTCAAATTAAGAGTTTATTGTTGTTTTTTCTCTTTAACTTGACTCCTCTCTTGCGTAACTTGCTCTGACTAGCAATCTTAACATGATCTAGATTATAAGTGTCAACAAGGAGCGGATTTTCCTTGTAGCTGACCCCTGGATAGTTGTAACCCTGCGCAATCTAATATGTTCAGTACTGACATAATGAGGAACACAAAATCAAAAGATCATGGTATCATTAATTGATAACAGGAAACCCTTAAATACAAAGAAAAAAGCAGCTAAACATTTTTAACCATGTAAAAGAAAAAGTTTATGAGGAAAATTCTCTCCCTTGTGCTAAGCTTTATCAGCTCCTGTTCTCCTCTTACTGGTCTCTTAATTAATACTGCACTCTGGTCTTCTCTATTGCTGTGAAATTTTCAGTGGTCCTCTTGAGCTTCTGGTATTTTGTCTTCATTTTGCCTCATCTGGTCTTTTTGCTAAATGATGTGAAAATCTAGAAGAAGATTTTTCCAATTGAAATGGCAAGTCATCCTCTGCCTTTCCTTATTATGCTTGATACAACCTGAAATGAAAATGGTAATGAACCATAGTATTCAAATGATTGTCAATCCTCAAGAGCCAAAGAGAAGAAATAGAGTGAGAATGAATTGTAGTAACAACTTTTGAATAATTATAAGGAATTAGCTATATCTGCCTTACATCTGATTAAGGCTGTTTTGTAACTATATACTGGCCAGTTCCATCTTGTTCAACCTTCAACCCATGTAGTAGCTAGCCGCTCGTAACTAATAGGTGTATGAGGTGCACATTAGTATTTCTGGAAATGAGTCATAAAAATGATTTACCATTTCTCTTCTTTGTTCTCCAACTACTCTACTAGATTTAGTCCAGAAAGTTTTCAGTTTGATCCCAGTGTCTCCGCCCTTGATGCTTTCCTGCCTCTTAGCTGGACCCCTAATGTCTGCTTTCTACTTCCTCTTTGTATCTCAATAACACAGAACCTAATCTTCATTTTGAGCATGAGTCATGGTGTTCCCTCTCCATCTCCAAAAGGGTCTTAGAATTATCACTTGGTCCATTGCACATCCATGATTGCTCCTTTTTCGAATAGGGGATCTCCCTCACATACCTATTGCTGATTTTCTATTTCAACTTAGATATTCAGAGTGACTCGTCTGAAGATCATGATTTTTCGTTGTAAGCTGCAGCCGCTAACTGTTTTACTTTTAATCAGATATTGTTAGAACAAGGAACACATGCAGGTATTGCTGAACGTATGCAGGACTATCAAGTGATCGCAATGGTGATACTATTGGGGTATGTATGGGTTGCTCACCGTGTACTTAAAAAATTCTTTACTCCCCTGCTGTCATTCTTTTTCTTGTTTCTTGTGCAATTTTTACGTTTTAAGTCCACATTTCTCTTTCTTGAATGAAAAGGAAGGAAGTTGCATGGACCTATCCATTTTTTGTTGCTTGTTTGCAGGCCAAAGTTGAAGCTTATTCAAAACCAAATCCAGGAAGATGTAAAGAAAATAATGTCTCAGAGTTTACACATGCCTACAATTGGTTCAAGACAGTACAGTAATAAACATAATGATCACTGCTTGACCAAACCATGTTTTGTTGCTTCCTGCAGCATATTTGGTCCAAAGGTATCACCCACCGACACCTACTCCATTTCTCTAGTTGCCTGTGAATTTCAGGTACCAGTGTTTGAGCATATACAGTTGGTCTTTGAGCAGATAAGACCAATACTTTTTTTTGTTCAATTAATGTAGCATACTTAATACGTTTTAAGCAGATATCTTTATCTGTTAATTGCTTTAAGAACAAAATCAACCCCAGGACGTTTCAATTCGGGTTGTGCAAGTGTTGCTTTCTTTTCCTCTTTTCTTTTTCCTCACTTTTTGGCCCCTCTCCAAGTTGGTCTCCAGACTTCAAAATATCCGCCCTATTTAACCTTTAATTGCTACTCCATTATTTTCTGTAGGGAACATAAAATATTAAGTTTCTCACTTCTCACAATTTTGTTGTATTGAGCTGTTTTAGTCACCAGAATTCATTTGACCATTTTAAAGTGCCACCAGAATTCACTTCCATGCTACGCTAAAGAACCAGATGAAGATGGCACGTTACATTCCCTTCATCAGAGATTTTCACTTGCAGGGAATAGGTCTTGTTACTCGAATTGCTGCCATGACAACTGAATCAGTGTACAATTTTCTGCAACATCAGTTGTCCAGTATGGAGCCACTAATTGGTGTCAAGCCATATTCTTAAGCAAGTGGATAAACATTTTTCCTGTCAAATGCCATGTAAGTAATGTTTGGTTTATCAATCCTTTCCGTTTTTGTCAATACTCAATAGCCAGTTGCCCATTTTGTTTGTAATCATCGTATCTGCAGAGAGTTGGATGTGTAGTTGTTTTGCATCCGGATTGACAACCGGCACTACTGTTCTGGTCATGTTTTTGTGCATTATGGGGAAATAAAAATGGTATAGGATGCATGAAACTAACCCGGGTCGTCAATATTCTTGAAAACACAATTTGTCAACTGCCATTCTGCTTGCCGTTTTGCATAATTAGCCATCCTGGAAATAATGGCAAGTCTTCTTTTATTTGGAACAAGTTGAAAGGAAATGGTGTGCTAAAGTTGTTCTCGAGTGCAATAACAAATTCTTTGGAGCTAAATCAGGAGAAGGATCTTTTTTCTTCTTTCTTCTGTTGGTTGGTTAAAATTACTGTACTTTTGTTTTAGTTCCTTTTGCCTCGCTGAACTTTGACATGTATTATAGTGTCTAAATTTTCACTAGCAGGATCATCCTAATTGCAGGTTTGAATAACTTTTCTTTTTCCAATATCAGGAGGAAAAAGTTCACACTATAAACTGTCTCTGGCTAGGTATGCCGCGGATGGATCACTAGCTTTTGAATGGATCACTAGCTTTTGAACATCGGACAACCATTAAGGTGTTTACTGTTCATCAAGATGGAGACTAACGGTACCAGCTCAAGAATGTTTAAATCGTATAATTAAAACTCTATTGATTCTATCTTTCACCATGCCATCCAAATATGCTAGAATGTAACAATGGAATCAACCTGCTTGTACTCTCCAATCTAACAAAAGCCTTTTTGAGCTCTTTCTAATTGGTGATGAATGCTTTTCCGAGGTCTTTAAATGCAGTCCACACTTCTCCAGACCTCTCTATATGTACCAATTTATATTCGGACTAAAAATGCGAGTACTTTAATTAAGTATTTCATGGTTTTCCTAACTGTTTTAAGTTATTATCCATTTATTCTTGATAAAATCTTCCATTATTTCATGATTTTCTACTCTTGCTAGGCAACTTAACTTACATTGTATGACATTTATATGAGTTGCTTAGATATCTGCATGGTGCGTGGCTAATTATGCAAAAAGTGTACAACTGAGGGGTTAAGTCTTTTTTTTTGGTTAATGGATATTACAAGACGAGGGAATTTCCAGCTACAAGTAGTATTAAGAAAGTCAAAGATGGAAGGAGTTATAGCAAAAATGGAGAGGGCTTTAATATAGTGCGCATATGTATGGGTATATATTGGTATCAATCATTTGAATTAGTATACGTAAACTTGAATAAGAAAAGAGAAAATAAAAAACCATCGAAAAAGAGAAAGAACATAATAATGTGAAACTATGGGGGATGTAAACATGAGATGATGTCCACTTCTTTCCTCTTCCTCTAAGTTTTGTTTCTTAGTATTTTGTTTTTTAATATGAATTGTTGACACTTTTGTTTCATAAGGTTGACAATTTTTCTACTTCTCTCAAATAAAAATTATAATAAAACTATAAGATAAAGGGCACAAAGAAAGAAATAGAAAAAGAAAAGAATGGAAAATATAGTGTCACAACTATATTTACATATAGGATAATGAAAGTGCATTAGACAAATAGAAGAGGAGGATCTAACTACTTTTAACATTAATAACCTTTTACATTACCATAAAAATATATATTGCAAAAAGAATAATAAATCTTAATTACAAAATCAATTACAGCAAAAAAACTCCTATAATTCCAAACAAACAAATGAGACTGCCTTTTTGTGTAAACTCCTGAGCGGAAGTTTAACGACAACATCGGTATTAATCAAGATTGCCTTGAGAATATAGGAATGCTACTTAGCCATCACTAATTTGACAGAACAACATTGACTGGCGATGAGTCTACCACCTACGTATAACTATAGAAATGAAGAAAATTCAAATGAGAATGATTGAGGTTAGGGGTTGTGAATTTATAGGGATAAAAGAATTGTTGGTGACAGAAATTTGATTAGTATTGTTTAATGCACAAAAGATAACGGCTTGGAAGGTGAAAGCTGAAATGTTCATGCCTATAATTGTTTATTATATGGATTAGTAATTATAAGATACTCACTAACTGTTACTTTGGTGATGAATGAAAAAATGCAAAAAAAAACAGAAAAAAGATAAATAGGAATGCTTGTCATATAGTGATGCCATATCATCTTGCCAATTACCAGCTTTATATTTATATATAGATATAGATGACGTGAACTATTTTTCCTTTACAGTCCACATGCCAAAACGGTATTAGGAGTTCAACGTTAATGCGCGTAAAGTGTAACAACGCCTTCCACACCTCCCATGTTGTTAAATCTTCATCAATATTTAGTTTATCGGTAGAGTACCTCAAGACCCCCAAAGTTGGCATTGTTTTGCAGGTGCACGCCTGAACTAGTTCTTGTTCTAATTATTGGTATATTGAAAGCCTTGAACCCTCCCTACCTACGAGTTAGACCTCACTTGAGTGTTCAGAATCACGTCCACATTAAAAATTAATTTTATGTGATGTCCACCTAGACAAAATAAATTATTTTTAAGTCAAATCAATTTAAAAATAAAAACCAATTGGAAAAAAAAGAAAAGAGAAAAGGTAATAAAAAAAACTAAAGAAGTCTTTCGAACAAAAGAGATTCTTCAGTCTCTCATTTCACCGTTAATGTCTCTTATATCGCCTCTTAATTTCTCTCTCAATTTAGTTTTTTTTTTTTGAGATTTGTTTTTAAGAACTGTTTATTGAGTTATGGGTTGGTGAGAGGGTTAATATAGTGGGTGTGGTGATTTTTTATTGTGACTTCTGGATTGGAATTACGATTACCATAGTCGAATATTTCACTTGTGTTGTTGGCTTTTGTTTCTACTCTAATTATCTACTTGGTAGGTCTACGTATAATATTTGCCCCTTCTCCATTATTTTCCATTCATATTTACTTTTTCTTTGATCATCTTTTGGTTTCTTCTCCGACTTCTTGTTCTTAAGTTTTCTTTGTTTTTGCTTGTTGGATATCCTATTTTTGATTTATTCTCTGACAAGTGTTAGATGATTTCTGCTTCTTCTATAATAAAATATTGCAGTTAGTTTTATGCATGCATGGAGTAGGGTTTTTACTAATCCGATAAAACAAGATCTTTGGAATGAAGTGAAGGACTGACAACGATATTGAGATTGATGAGAAATTCTGGGAGGAGGTTTTTATTCCTCAAGCAGTTCTAAAACTTGTTGCAAGTGATTTTTCTATGCATTAGATGAACTAGTGTTGGAGCAGCTCTCTTTTTCCTTTCATTCTTTTCAAGTAGTAGAGAAACATTAAAGTAATAAAAATGATGTGCATATATATTAGGGGTGTAGAATTTAGGCCGACGTAGAATCCTATAAAACAGCTAACAAAGTGATCTTTAATTTGTAGTTTTCCTAAGGCAGAAACTTGTCCATCCTTTTCACTATGACACTTAATCTTGAGTCTGTTTCATTTGAACCCTATAATATATCACGTTTCCGAAATTTGCAAAATCGAGCAATATGCCCACTCTTGCCACATACAAAGCATGGTCTCGCAATTTGAACTTGTTGATTCTGTGTTTGGTTGTTTGCACCATTATTCTTCTTGGGAGGTCTACCATAATTTTTCTTAAAAGTTTTCTTCTTCGGCTTCAAAGAAGTATTTTTGTAAGTTTCAGGAGTACTAACATCATTTGAAGTAATTAAATTTACCTTTGTAGTGTCGGATTGTAGAGTGCCCTCTTCCGATTGCATAAGTGCATCTTGGCCTCTTGCCTCTTCTTTCGTGCGAATTTGCATTATCAACATCTCAAGTGAAATTTTCTTTTGTTTGTGACGCATAGTTGTTTGAAATTACTTCCATGAAGGTGGAAGTTTATCTATTATGCCACAAACAATAAGGTTGTCTCCAATTTTAATATGCTCGGACCTACGCTCTCCAACAATCATTATGAAGTCTTGAGCTTGATCTACTACATATTTGTTGTCAACCATTTGAAAACAAAAAAAATCTACTAGCAGCATATTTTTTTGCACCTACCTCCTCAGTATCATACTTACTCAGCAATGCTTTCCAAGTTTTCTTTGCAGTAGAATAAGTTCTATCATAATAATCATAAAAATTACCAGATAGACAATTAAGAAGATAATACCAGCACTTGTATGAAGTATTGTTGTATTTTTTAATTTTCTCTTGAAGGGCAATTAGCTCATCATCATTCATGGAGGAGTTATCCACTTTGCTTGGATTCTTCTCAGCTAAAGCGTAAGAAATATTGAGTAGACTTAAATAAATAAGTCCTTTACCTTTCCATCTCTTGAAATGAGTATGTTGAAACAAAATGGCTTGTTGAGATCTCCCACCTTGATATTAACGAATTTTTCAACTGTAGCCATTTGAATCTCCTCAAAATTGTTGGTGAAAATATAACTACAGTTGAAAAATAAAATGAAGAAAATAAAATATCTTCAGGCTGAGGCGTGGATATCTCGCTCTCTTTAAGGAGATTCAAGCCCACTGCGACAAAGTCTTCACTAGTCCAGCCATAATCCTCTTGACTTGTCTCCACTAGGATACAACAGTCTGATCACATCGTATGACTCGAACAAACTCTGGACAAGTTATTTAGTCAAAGCCTCCAACTAGATAAATACCTTTCTTCAACAAAAATAAAACTCTCTTCTTCTTTTTTTTCACAATTTTATTCTCACTTATTAAGTACTCTACAAGTTTTTTTACACACCATGTTATGAAAGAAAGACTCTTATTTATACGTGTAGGAATTCTTCCTTAAATTAAATTAAAAAAAAAGTGGGGCAATAAGCTATGAATCATGAAGAACATGGGATAATGAATGAATTAATGTGTAATTAGTGATAGAACATGGGAGAAGAGTTACAAAAGAGTTATAGCCATTTTTTACATCATGAAGTAGTAGGAGTTATGGCCATTATCAAGATCACAGGTAATTAAGAAAAATCATGGCATATTTTATATTAATATTAAAATGCTAATCTACTAACATTTGGAAATTCGTTGGCGACCCTTTTGGCCAAATGTCTTGGTGAGTAGTCGGTTACAACTTACATGCATAACTAAATTAACGTTTGCAAAAAATTCAAATTGTGACTACCTTACTTTGTATACATTTTAAAGCATATAGTACCATAACGATCCGACCGATCATTTTGAGCTCTAGCGCGTCAGCGGTTTAAGGCTTTTAGTAGCTTCACTTCAGGAATTATGACTTGGACATGTAGTCGGAACTGAATTTTGGGAAGTTCGGAGTTGATTTGAAAAAAAGATTCTAATTTCGGAAGCTTTAAGTTGGAAAAATTGACTAAGGTTTGACTTTTGAGTAAATGACTTCAGAATCGGGATTTGAAGGTTTTAATAGGTTCGTATGATGATTTCGGACTTGGGCGTATGTTCGGGTTGAGTATCGGATTACCCGAGAGTATTTCTACGCTTATTGTGGAAAGTTAGCATTTGGAAGACTTTAGAATTTTTTAAGTTTAGTTTGAGGTGGACTTTGGTGTTGTCGATGTCCGCTTGGGATTCCGAGCCTTGGAATAGGTTCGTATTGTAATTTATGACTTGTGCGCAAAGTTTGGCGTCATTCCGGAATATTTTGATATGAATCAGATGCGTTCGTCGAAGTTTGGAAGTTTAAAAGTTTAAAGGAAGTTTTCGATCATCGATTCATAATTTTGATGTTGTTTGACGTGGTTCGAGGCTTCGACTAAGTCCGTGTTGTATTTTGGGATGTGTTGGCTTGTGTGTACGGGGTCCCGGGGGCTTCTGGTGCAAATCGGATTGGAACGAATCGAGTTTGGACTTGGGAAACTGCTGAGATGCACCAGGTCTGGTGCGACCGCACCTGCGAAAGATTTGGTCGCAGGTGCGAG